GCAAGTTTCATGCCTCATATATCGTAAAAATCACAGTCCGAATCCTATAACTCAATGATTTTTGAGAGGACAAATCTGAGCTCATAATAATAATAATAATAATAATAATAATAATAATAATAATAATAATAATAATAATAAAGGCTAACCGATCAACTTCGTTACGTTACCCTCGTGATAACACCAATGTTGCCTGTACGCTTCTAAGAAAGGTTTACCCATTGTCCATCTTGTTCCTGCCATTTCCGACCAAGGTCAACTGACTTCTTTTCGATGAGAAGCTGTGAGGCGTTGCCAGATATCCCGTCTTCACTGAAGAAAACCACCACCTGTATTCTAACAGTCACTAGCGGGAATGACTACTTTCCAGCGACTGATTTGCTTTGGGGTTACCACTAACCAAGGATATTGTGCCTCTCTCACACAGCTCATGTCACGTGCTAAATTATGGATTCTCAACAAAGGGGAAGGGCTCTATCACTCTCATTGATTTTGGAAGTCGCCCCCCCTTACTGGCATGACTGAAACTTCCAGATCTCCTCTCCTCACCATTCTAACTTCCATTCGGTATTCTTCGTCCCACATGCCCCAGCTGCATTCTGTTTGTTTTGACTTGGGCATGTTACCAAACTTCATTCATTCTGAAAACTAGAGGCGATTGGGCTATGATTGTATCGCATCCAAATGAATGCTCAAGACCAGCGACCGATGCAGAGCAATGAGTGGAATTCCTCAGCTTGTGGTAACCATACCCCCCCTGTGAATTCATGTCACCGCACTCACAGGAAGTGCCATCGTTCGTTACGACAGAAGCGACAAGGACCCAGTATGCGTGTCGATGACGTGAAGAAACATAGTCCGCCTCTGAAGCTTATTCAGCCTCACAGATCTGACAAGTAGATCAAGTGTCGTGCAGAAGGATCTACATTATTGACCTGAGGCTGTGTATGAAGCTCAGCAGTTCCGCCAAACTGATCAGTTTTCACCGAAAAGCTGGATATATTTTACACAAGCCCAACTTACAAGTTGTCCGGATGGATGAACTCATAGTTTAGTCTTCCAAACAAGAACGACCGGTTTGCCACTCCATTTGTTTCCAAGACAACCTTTTCCGAAAGTCAACGTTAAGCATCAGGCATTGGTTTGCCGCTGTTCAGGGGGGACAATAACGTTTTTTGTTTGATCTGTACACGATGCTCATGAGAAGTTTCTGGGACGATGGTCCTCAGTACTTCTCCCTAGCAGACTGCCTGCTTGATTTTTAACGGTTGAAATTGCGCCGCTTTCTTCAGAAACTGACTCCGTTAACATCCTATCGGCATTTGAAATGTGGAGATATGGTCCATAGGTTTCTGGTCGTTGAATCCACGTAGGTGTTTGCCAGTAAAAGTTTCGCCGCGAATCGAGGTGGCATAATCCGTAATCTGTTGTGTAGCGGACTGATGTCGTGAGATAGTGGGCGGATTATAGACTGTGTCTATCTCAGTTAAGTTAGTTCCCTTATGTGGTGTGGGGTCATTCCTACAAATATTCCAATTGAGATTTCTATTGATCGTAATGGACCATAGAATTTTGCAATGCACTACTTATAAGGGTGCTGAAAACTCCTCGACGGCCCACGACCGGTTTCGCCCTTCTTGGGGCTGGCTCATCAGGTAGGCGCAGCCCCTGAGTTTCCGTCAACCTTATGTTCTACTTGAAACTAAATTGCACTAAATTAGCGAATGTACACTCGTTTGCAAACTAATTTGGTTCTCTCGAGAGACTCACCTGGAACCCGGCTGAATCTCTCGGTTTTGATGTTTCCAGGCAACTGAATGTGCTGCACCAGGCTGCCTTTTGTTTCAGTCGCTACGATATTCGAGATATCACGATACATGCATATATTTGTCATGTACTACTCAAGAGGGTGCTGAAAATCCGTCGACAGCCCACGACCGGTATCGCCCATGTATCGCGATATTTCAAATATCGTAGCGACCGAAACATGAGGCGGCCTGGTGCAGCACATCCAGTTGCCTGGAAACATCAAAACAGAGAGATTTAGCTGGGTTCCAGTTGAGTCTATCGAAAAACCAAGTTGGTTTGCAAATGAGTATATATTCGCTAACCATAGACTTGTTTTTGTATGGGACTAGTGAGGTCTACTTTCCCTGAAAGCGACATTTAAGGCTCCGGCTAGGGTGCCACAAAGGCTGTATTAGACAGAATACTTTGCTCCAAAAGTGTTGAGAAGCGTCACATGATTTGAGTTCTTATCTTCCAAGGTCACGCCAACGCAGGCTTGCTGCGTAACAGAAGTCACACTCATTGTGGCATCTGTGGTTGGTCCTTTATTGCGTTGAAAGTGAGCGTCGTACGTACGCTTTAACCCCTGAAAGATTGCTTAAAACGCAACAAAAATACAGAAAGTACCCCAAAGAGATCACCTCCAAGATAGGTGAATTTCCCAGGGAGACCACATTAGCGACTGAAAGTGCGGTCTAGGATAGGTTATTCCCCATGGGAAGGGAGGAAACAGCTATTCAGGCCCTGACATTCACTATTCTCTATGTAACTGAGGACTTTAGAGAGCAAGTGAACGAGGGGAATGAAATCCACAAGCCCCAGCATGTCCACTGCTCCAAAACGCTCTGCGATTTTTTATTTGAAGCCACGGATATCCATTAAGAAGCTTCAGTTTTTTTTTTACAAACACTGCTGTCTCTGTACGCACCTAACGTTGTTCTTCAACCCTTAACTATCCACTTCACACTTCAGAAGAGTTCGGTCAGCATGTGCTTACCAGACTTTTTTGAAACCAGTTCTAAATTCCTTCCAATTTCAAGTTTTCGAATCTAAACGCAGAAAAGTTCCGGGAAAGCACAACCACATCAGACGGGAAATGGAAGACAGCTTTATGCTATTTGATCTTCAGTCGCCCGACTGCCTGAATATGACAAGCGAGCTTAGGGAATACAAGGCGAACTTTGAAGCTCCTTGTTGTCACGTCCCGATACTCCTTTTGAAAGGAAGGCGTCTGTCTATCCAAAACTATCACAATGTGGTGTGCCACTTGGGAAATGGCAGAGAGCAGGGTATTCTGTGCGCACTTCTTGGTCAAATTTCTCTCGATGCTGTGGACTCATATTTTTTTGGGTTGGGGAGAAGAAAACCTCAGTGTGCGTTGGGTAAGACACACACACAACATCTCCCCTACTCCATATGCACATAGAAAATCTGCTGGTGTTTTTTCAGCTGTTTTGTTGTAGGCTGATAGGCTTCTCAAACAAAGTTTAAATGGTTCAAAGTCCACCAAATAATCAATAATTTAGCCCTGTGGTTCCTGTTGCGGGAAATTCTCCTCGGTTTTTTTTACTTGAAAAAATGGGATTTCCCCTGTGTAATTTATCAAAACTAGACGGGATCGATATTCAACAGCAAGGAGATACCAAATTCTGAGAGCTACGAGTATAGATTTATACCAATGTTTTGGCTATGCAGATCGCATAGATTGGCTAACTGTTGTGGACCGTGAACCCCGGTTTGGATAGCCCATTGATAGCCTGGTGTGCTTGGCCAAACCAGTAAAAATCAATGAACGTGCGAACTGGCTGATCTATTGATCACCGTCGCGTACAAGCGGGTCAAAAAAGTGGTGCTAAGAATACGACTCATCTGTCAAGGACGAGTGGAGAACAACCAATGAAATTGGTCTCAACGAAAACGCTGATTCCATTGGCTGTTATATATTCCCGTTACGTTCGGAACTGGTTCTCCTAATACTAACCTAGAATGGGGTCTTTCTAGCCATAAATTAATTTTCCTTCAGTGGCGGGACCTGTACTGATTCATACCATCGTCCATGCTAGCCCTCTTTCAGGTAACCGGGAGGAAGCTGATCGGCTAAACTCAACAAACAAAGATACCAAAATATATATTATTTTTCGATATGTTTTGCAGAGCAAATAGGCCAATCAGCTCAGAACAGAAAAACCATCATATACCAAAATATATATTATTTTTTAGATGTGTTTTGCAGAGCAAATAGGCCAATCAGCTCAGAACAGGGATTTTCGGTTGATATCAAAAGGTGAGAATGCATCTTTCTGGGAGGGGGGAACACTCAGAACTTTCGTCCTGAAATCTTTTGTCAGTCTGAATATTTTCAGTCATTCATCTAGGTAACTGAGGTGTCCTAATGTGCCAACATATTTGATCCGTATATATAAGTCCCCACCACGAGTGACTTGTTAAAAGAGATGCCATTTATTTGTGTGCAATATCAATCAGGATAGGTCACTTCTTTTGACATTTTGGCCATCATTGGTAAGATCAGATTCTTCATCTTGGTAGGTATTAGCTTCAGTGGTTTTGACGACATTTTTAATTCAGAAAAAAAGTAGAACACAAGCAGAACATAAGGTTGATGGAAACTCGGGAACTACGCCTACCTGATGGGCCCCAAGAGGGTCGAAACCGGTCGTGGGCTGTCCAGGAGTTTTCAACAACCTTGTGAGTAGTTTCCTTCATGAAAAAGTAGCTACTTTTTGGAGAAGATATTCACCGCTTCTTTGGATGCATAACACACTTTAGTTCTTATAATTCGAGATAGTACATTCAGTGAACGCCATTGATGTGATGATTTGATGGCATTAGCCATCTTCAGTTAGCATTTTCAAAGATAATTCTACTCCAACAGCCGGTGGCTTTTTCCGCATTTCGCTGCCTGTGCACATTTATGTAGTAAAAAAATAATAAAAAATAATAATAATACGTAGTGACAGGGCTTTGAATAACCACTGACCAGGATCCGTTATCGATCGATCTCAGCTGAAATTACGGATAACTAATTGATGGTAATCGATAGTAATCCTCCCGAGAAAGATCGCTGTGGGGAGAGTAGTCAGCCTATCGTGACAGCGTTTTCTTCTGAATAACCACGTACTAAATCATAGCTGTTATGATTCCAAGAAACGTTCCTTGAAGGCGGTCAATGCAAGTGCAAAATTTGACTCAGTGCAAGCCGAAATCACCACGTACTCCATCTTGCGGGAAACGCATCCACACGACCGTCTTTGTTAACCATCAAACCTAAATTTTGGACCCGGCTCTGATGTTCTAATTGTTCTTTTAGTAAAGGCTTATGATAGACTTCTTCACCTATGTGCCTCTGTGGACAGTGTGATCGCGAACATTTTCTCTAGAATATCAGAAGATCTTAACTGAGACTGTCAGTCTGTACTTCATCCGATTCCCAGTTTTTTTGCCCACAAATCGCTCTCTACCAACCAATACACTCGACTATTGAGTTGTATTCACAAAACACTTTCTGCGTTGTTTATCCATGACACACTCACAAATCTGTTGTTTCCCTTTGTGTGCTTGGCGATGAATGGAAACTGGGTCACCTCGTGTGGCCAGTTTAGCACCGGTTCCGTTGTTTCCCTCATACTTCCATCTTTTTGTATGAGAAGGGTTGTGTTTTGGAACGTCCCGAATTTAGGGTAAGTTGCTTTAGTATAACGGGCCAGGTTTTTTGACAGATTATTAAAATGCACTCTCTCTGCTATCTACGTGAAGATCGCCATATCGCTAAATACAGATCAATTAAGACTGAGTTTGTCCAGTAGATCAACAGGACACACTTCTCCCCGGCGGAACACACTACTCACAAGGTTGCTGAAGACTGACAAATCATAACCGTCTTGCGACTTATCATGTGGGCGCAGTTCCCAATGGTTTGTTAGCCTTCTGTTTTGCTTGGTTACTTGTAAACTGTAAATCATATGGCGCATCCAGTTGAAGAATATTCGTTACCACCAACTTAATTTGACTTTTATTTTCTTGCCTATTTATTCTTCTTTTTAGTTTACCCTGTATTGTGTTTTGAGACCCTGTGTATAAAAATGGGGGCATTAACAAATCGCAACCAGTAAACCTGGCTAAATACATTGCAGTTGCAAACACCGCGAATGTTAAGCGAACTTCAAAACATTGTCCGTACTACAGCCTCACACTGATATTCGCAAACCACTGCGATAGTTCAGTAGGTTCCGGGTATTCGGGATCTATTCAGAATGGACGTTTTTACGGCTACCGTCGTGTCTTTGCTAACGCTGTTTTTCATCTTATCGCTATTCCTGTAAATTTATTGAGGCTCAATCCAGGAGGGAGTTGTTGCAATTCAAGATGTGCTAGTTTATGGAAATTGAGTTGCAAGGCTTGGCAAACCCTTCTCCTTCATATCGTTGGTATAGATCATTAGAAGAGGGCAAAGGTTTGTCTCCTAACGCAGACTTTTGATCCCTTTAGACGATGCCCAAACGAGGCTACTATCCAGTCTGTATCCAGCCCAGACAGAGGGCACTGACGTTGGTGTGAAGAAAGTGGCACATCTCAAATTAAAATCTTTAAAAAATTTTAAAATGAAAGTATGCCATCAGGGGGGAGATTGACAGCTGTTCTTTTACCCACACTGGACAAGAAGGTGGTGAGTAATCTGTCAACAGTGACATCACCAGTGCCTGATAGATTAGCCTTGCAACGTTGGGCCGTGCTGTCTTGGGCAAAATTCGATCACTATTGATCGATTTTTTAAATCATAGCCGCATCCTAATCAATAAGGTTTATGAGCATAGGACTACACGCCAAACTGGCGCCAATCGACTAGGCAGGGGCGATATCACCTCAACGTGTGATGAAATATTGTTAACCATTGTTAACAGAACGGAAGATCGGAATTCAACGTTTATCGTGGCTTACGTTGAACAATGTTCATCCAGTGGCAACCGTCGGCTCGACTTTAGCAGGTGACCGCAGGTTATTTCAATGCAAGTGTGTGCATGTTGTTGGAAGACATCTGTCTCCGGAAAAATTCCTCATAGTGGGAGAACAGTGACCAGAATCTAATGACTTTGTTTTAGCTCTGAATCCGATTTTAGCAGAATCGCTAATGCTCTCAGAAGTTAACCAGGATGGAGACAGAAACTTAGCAGATAGGGATTCTCATATCTGTCATCTTAGTGTGTCGTGTTAACTGGTTCCAGTTACGTTAGTTAGGCCTCTACGACCAGTCAACAGTATGATATGGCATAGCTTAGTGCGCGGTTTGCCAGTAGTCTGCTGTCACTCACTCCAATGCTTTTCCAATCCCTTTGATATGCAAAGGTGCGGCCACGTACATGAGCTTTTTCATAGCAAATGAACAATATCGTTTCCCCCTCTCGTTAGAAATCCACTATCAGAATATTCTGGCATGAATATCATTCAGTACAAATGACGAGTGGCTATGGCTCGAGTTTAGAAGGTGACCGCAGGTTATTCCAATGCAAGTGTGTGCAGGTTGGTGGAAGACCCCTGTCCCGGGAAAAAATTCTCATAGTTAGAGAATGGTGACCAGAAACCAATGACCTTGTTTCAGCTCTGAATCCGATTTTATCAGAATCGCTAATGCTCTCAGAAGTTAACCAGGATGGAGACAGAAACTTAGCAGATAGGGATTCTCATATCTGTCATCTTAGTGTATCGTGTTAACTGGTTCCAATTACTTTAGTTAGGCCTCTACGACCAGTCAACCGTATGATATGGCATAGCTTAGTGCGCGGTTTGCCAGTAGTCTGCTGTCACTCACTCCAATGCTTTTCCAATCCCTTTGATATGCAAAGGTGCGGCCACGTACATGAGCTTTTTCATAGCAAATGAACAATATCGTTTCCCCCTCTCGTTAGAAATCCACTATCAGAATATTCTGGCATGAATATCATTCAGTACAAATGACGAGTGGCTACCTTAGGGAAAAAAACCGTCCACAACAGTATGAGAATATATCTCAGTACGATAGCGAAATGTAAGGATAGGGTAATCTCACCGTCATTCATAGTGCTAAGCCATCTTAGTTTGCGATAGAGGACCACGGATCAAATCTGATTTAATATAGGATACGGTCGCACTATATCGCACCCTCAGTCAGGCTGCCTTAATCATGTTAGACCTGTTCCACAAAAACTGCATTTTAACCTCACGGAGAATGCACTAATAAATGGAAAGACTGTACGAGTGTATGTTTTGAGTAATGGGGGGCTGGGTGTGGATTCGGTTTTGTCACACCCGGTAAAAGATACCCTGAGTTGGCTCATATCTGTACTAATGACTGGTCTTCACATGGTTTGTATCCCCTTGTATTGCTACTCGTCCAACGAACGTCTTTCGCCTGAACAACTAAAATGCGGGGCGCCATGAGGCCACCGGCCCCCATCACTGCACCTTTGGTGTGCTGTATAGTCAACCATTCGGTTGTGGGATTGTAACCTCTTGGTAAACTATAAGTCTCCTGGACTGCAATTTATCTGTGAACACTAACTATGGATTCTCAGTGAGAATCCACAAAAAACCCACAAACTCAGACAGGTACTTTCATTTTGATTCTTCGCATCCGCACGACGTCAAACACGCACCTATCGGATCGTTGGTGAGTCGTGTCGAAATTCCCATTTTCAGATGAATCCATACGAGCAGGTGAACTGAAACGACTCATTAAGGTATTACAGTTAAATGAGCACTCCATGGGACTCATTATCTAACAGATGGCGAGAATGCTGTCCTGAATTGCGAGGCAGGTTGGTGAAATCCCAGTGGTCACCGTGGGGATATTCTACATCGGACACCTATCCTATTTGGATATCATTAGAAAGGTACTTCGGGACTATATGGAAGCCTTACAAGGATACCTAGTAACGGATGATGACCCTGTCGAACCGAGACAGCGCACAAACTGTGCGGAATGCCCAGATAGCCGGACAAGTGGACATCTCCATATGCGAATCAGGGAGCGTGCTCTTCTCCACGTGCAACATCACCATGCTGATCACTGGGCACGACCATGTGCCATGCCAGGTGTGAGGTTTGAACCACGTACAAGGAGATTCATATGGACAACCACCAGGATGGGAACGAGAGGGTTCAAGTGGTTAGAGCGCGAATTTACTGACCGGAAGGTCCGTGGTTCGAATTCGACCTCTGCCTCTCGACTTTCCCTGCCGAGGCTTGGCAGTCTCCCAGCCCTCGTGCCTCTTTCGTGTGACATGACAGCTAGGCACAGAAAGGGTGCTCCAGCTAAACGATTAGAAGCTTTCGTCTTCGACCAAGGGCATGTAGAAGAAATGATCTTTCGAAGAAGTCGAGGGAAATTTCGGTCGTTGACCAACGGCTTGCCTGACACTGCTCACGCATTTAACCTCTTCCTGGATGATGCTCTGGGGTTGCGTCTCACGTGCTTGGGTGGCCTTACGACAGGCATCAGGATCGTGCCACCGTGACTGAGCCATCCACTTTAAGTACCTTATTTCGACAAGAGTTTAATTATTGTTCGTCCATTGGTTTCCAATGACTGATCATTGTCTTCAGAGAGAACTGCTGGTAATTTATTTGGCTTGAGGGTGCTTGAAGACGCTCAATAAACCAAGGAGATCTAAACGCACAAACCACCGCTTGAAATGAGCGGGTCGAATGAGAGACGTAGGTACCGGTTTAACTAGGCTCTCTCTGAAAATATTCCGACCACTTGGCACGGGCCTTTTTTATATAAGAAGTTTCGAATATTATGTTGTGTAACGCACTGACAGACAGCAAATTAGCTTTCCCTTTTGCTTTGGCCTTCGACACACCGGGAGCTTTTTTGTCCCATCGCGCCTCCGTAGCCATAAACGCGTTTCGTATGAGCCAATCTCAGTGGTAGACAGTTCCAATCAGGCGCACACACGCACGCACGCACGCACACATCAGTTTTTACGTGTGGGCCTAAAGAGTGTGGCAGACATCAACTCACGGGGAATAAAATACAACGTTTCTACAAACCGACGTATACGTGCAGCGCACGCATTACCAGCATCGCGCAGATCGAAATAAAACGGAAGTTATTACAATTTGTTTTTTTTTTACAGAATCATGGGTATTTGCGCAGATTTAATTTGGCTAACGGAATTGACGATTTTATATATCCACTTTAGTTTAGGTTCAGTAATGGACCAATGCCCCCCTAAAAGGTGATTATTTTGGGCACAGAAAACCAGAGAAGATCTAACTATCGAGGCACAAGTTAGATGGTTTAATAGACCCCTAAGAAGAAATTTTTCCGGGTCTGCCTTTTCTCGCGTGCAGGTTGACAGGTGGTCAGTTATTGTTATATCTGCTGATTCGCCAATTTGTTTGTTCTGGTGCTGACCCGCTCCAGCGCCTAGTTGCCGCAAGAAATACTCACAGAAGGGAACGCAACAGCCATATTCCGAACAAGTGAGTGCGAGTGGGAATGTACAACGGTCCCAAGCTACTTATTGGAGGATCACTGCCTGAACTGAGTCCAATGCTAACGCACACGGCCTGGCTTTGGTACGAGGCTGTGACGTGCTGCATATTGCGGGGGCGTTGTCTGACCTTGATCAACGCTGACTCACGCTGTCTGGGTCTGATACAAGGCTGTGAGGCGCTGCATGTTGAGGGGGCGTTGTCTGTCTGGTCAACATCCAGCGGAGCTGAAAGTCTCGGTAGATTTCGGGCATTCAGTGGTTGCTTTCAGGACGCTGACCTTCCTCATAGTTATGAACCGAACGGCAGTTCTTAAGTCAAATTTAGCTAAATCAAGAGATCATTGTGGATTTTCTGGATGCAGAATTCGGTCAGACTTGGGAAAACTCAAAATATGGAAAAACAAGAGGAGGAAATATCCAACCAGAATCTGTATTCTCAGACTGTCTGACAAAAAGGTTCTGGACATGACGAAAAAGGATGAGAAATTTGCCGCTGCTGACGAATCACAAGACAACCATTTATCTCCGGATGCATATACGTGTGTGAATACATTAGATTGTTTGCCAAAGCTGAAAGGCATCTAGTAATGTAAGAGAGGTTCTGGAAGTGGTTTACGATGGAGAACGAATCACGCAAGAAGCAGTTCCGCAAATTCCGCTCTGAAGGACAGCTCTGCAAGCGGCATGAAGAATTCCAACGCTTTTGTAGGCAGTTATCCTTGAGCAAGCCTCACATCGCCGCTGGATAGTGGGTGTTTCAAGTTAATTGTAGGTGCAAAAAGTGTGTAAGGAACCCCATCCTAGGGAAATTTATACCGGAATTTGTGTATCTGCCTAGAAAATGAAGGGGACTTTACCGGAGACTGATGAGAGCCACGCGCACCATTTGGTATGGTTACGTCTTTGTTGGTACTGAGAAAGGAGTGGGGAATCCTCAACGTTGGTGGAAGATGAGAACTTTGTTCGTACGTGTAAGGTCCCTAGGTTTTTTGTAATGAAGACAGTTTAGTTCCTCAGGGATGAATCTGCATGCTCGTGCACCAATTGATGTCAGTCACCGGAGACTCTGAGAGATGGCTTTCTAATGTCAAGAAGCAACCAAGTGAAATGGGATAATGGATTTGCGGTTAATGAGTAGGACGACAGTCTGTGAGACCTCATTCCATGAATGAACGAGTGACACCTTGAAGCAAGCATGTCTGAAACACTCTGACTCCTGGTTCTACCCACCGGACAGATTTGGGTCAGTTTGAACCGCAGTTTGAACCCAACCTCTGCACCTGAACTGCTCCCTGCTTGGCTGGAGCAGCCTGAAAGTTTCCCAGATCTAATGTAATTAAGCAATCTTTACAATTTATCGATTAAATATGCTGGTGACTTTGAACGATTGATTTCCAAACACCGGTTAGAATGGCCACAAGCGTTTACCTACTTCACGCCCTCCTGTATTGGTTGCCAAATCAACAAAATACGCACACTACTGTTCTGCTAAGTAGTATGGTTCAGCAAATATCCCTTTCTTGTTTGAGATTCTCCTTTTCGGAACGCCGTATGAAAGTTGGGGTTTAATATTGAGACCGTTCGTTTTTTTCTTGCTCGCCCACATCCGAGACACGAATGTGGAGGTGCGGTCTACCGGGAATCAAGTAAGCAGAACTATAACCAGTCGTACTTAGCAGAAGTTTTTATTCTCTTAACTTTTTTGTCTCGAATCAGGAGTTGTCTTTTATTGGAGAAAGCGATGACCGGTAAACTATGTGCAAATTCAAATTGGAAAATCACGAAAGTGGGAAAGTGTTTGATCTCATGGCTGAAAATTCGTGCCTCCAACACCTCCCCCCGACCGTTTCAGAAAAGCGCATCGTTGAATTAAATGAGACAGTCGCATTTCTAAGTATAATGGACTCAACTTGGGTATCATCTGTTGGCCGTAAAACCGTTAATAGGTTTCCAGAGGGGGAGTTGGATAAAAAGGCTTGAAACATACGCGCAACTCCATTGCGTTTACTTTAAATTTCCACGAAGTCAAACATCACTTTCTCATCAACTCAGATTGAGTGTATTGATTTTGTTCAGACAAAAAAGTCTACAAAAAACAGTTTGATTTGCCTGCAAACCACCCTATCTACGCCCCCTAAGATCCAGTTTTCGCTACGCAGCTTTCCGTAACTCATTTTTCAATACCTTCTTTAAAAACATTTGTCGCGATATGAAATTTGGTTAATATCGGTCTTATTTGCACTGTTCCGTTCATTTTGTCAAGTTATGCACTTGCAATGAGCTCTTAACACAGCACAACGCAGCATGCATTGGGGTAGATTAACCAGAGCAATCGTGTGAAAACGGGAGATCCCGGTGGAAACTCAAGTATTAATTCTTTTCCATAATTGCTTATATATCTCCATGGTTTGAAAAAGAACACAGCGACGAACATTGATAGTTTCGGAATCTCGTCATCAGGTCAGTACACATCTAATGTTTGAATTAGGAGCGAAAAATGAAATGCGCTGCGAAGATTGGTTAGTGAAATGCAAAACGTGGAGACACGAATGATTGGTTGTCTGCGCCCCCCCCCCCCACAGGAATACCACTAACTTCAACAGTTCAGCCAGAAGCTCAATTGCATCCCACCTAATTGACACCGAGCACGTAGTCATGCCAAATGAGTCATTTCAAATCATTTACCGTGGGCCAAATAGACTGCCAGTATCTATTCAACGGCGTCGCTTGACTACAGCCGAGGCAGTCGCTATACTCCTGCGAAACCCGGCACTGTGCTGTCAAAAACGTTTCGTACGAACGCTGAGTCTGCCTTGGTCGTGTGACACGAATCGACCGGCCAAGTCACTCGGCAGCCCTCTTCACTGTCCCACAGCATCCAACCAGATGCGACATGGGGGGATCAGGCAACCAACCGTTCGTGTCTCCACGTTTTGCATTTCACTAACCAATCTTCGCAGCGTATTTCATTTTTCGCCCCTATTTTAAACATTAGGTATGTACTGACCTGATGGGGAAATCCCGAAAACATTACTGTTCGTCACTGTGCTCTTTTTCTGAAGTATGTTGTGCGCAACTCATTATCCAGTCAACTATTAATTACATCTGCAGGTTATTGCACAGGTTATTGGGCGAGATGGCCCAAGTGGTTAGAGCGCGAATTTTCTAACCAGAAGGTCTGCGGTTCGAATCCGGCCTCCGCCTCTCGACTCCCCCTGTCTAGGCTTGGGCAACCTGACAGTATCCCAGCTCTCGTGCTTCCTTCCGGTGGCATGGCAGCTAGGCACCGAAAGAGGTGCTACAGCTGGACGCTTGTGGATCTGGATCTTTGAGGACCTGACAGTATCCCTATTGCGTTCTTCAACCAAATCCAGGGACTGCATGCTACCAGTTTAACAGTGTATGTTACTGATGGAACATGTGAGTAGTGTCTGATCAACTGTCCAAGTTCCATCTTCGCATCTGACGGAAACTTAGTACGAAGAAATTACGGGACCGCTTCGTAGTGCTTTTTCAGTAGTGTTTAATGTTCGTAGAAGGTCTAGAAAAGTTTAAGAAAATGTCCACGTTCCAAAAACCCTGCTGTTTTCTCTTTCGTGTCTAATGGCGTGTAACCGCTCCGTTCACGTTGGTCAACACCGCAACCCAAAGCTTTCTACCTTTCAACACAATTTATTTTCTGGGATCCAAAGCTTGCTATTCTAAGCAGTGTAGCTAGCGCTTTGATGGGTTCCCAATGTTTCAGCAAACGTCAAGCAAAGTTCTACCTTTCAACACAATTTATTTTCGGGGATCCAAAGCCTGCTATTCTAAGCAGTGTGGCTAGCGTTTTGATGGTTTCCCAATGTTTCAGCAAACGTCAAGCAAATTATCATCTGATTGGGTGCACATTCAAAATCTCAAGGCCGTTCCCCATCGCTCGTTCAACTGGAGGGTTCTTTATGACAAAACACAAGGATGCCAGACGAATTGATTGGTCCTGTATACTCTAGCTTTCCCTCTTCTAAGGAGTTAGGTTGATTCAAATAAAATCCAAAACGGTCTGAAGTGGGGCGTAGTCTCCCAGGAGTACACATAAACATAAAACAAGGGTTGAAAGGTCAGTTTTGCTGATGATCTTTTATTGCGAACAGCGGATGGATGGTTTGTAGCGAAACACTGTTCACGAGGTTGCAGGCCAAACTCTGTCGGCAATGAGCTTACAGCCAGACTGTGGTACCATTTCATACAGCCGGGACTTCTAGGCAAACATGGTGAACAGTAAATCACTTAGCGACAAGTCTTCGTTCATCCATACCGATTTAAAGTGAGCGATACGTTCATCACGCTGTTACTCAACGTGCCTTGATTTGTACCCATGAAAAGGCAAGGTATGGTTGTGTTATATCTGCTGATTCACCAATCTGTTGTATCTGCTGCTGACCCGCTCCAGTACCTAGTTCCGGAAACAAGACTCAGGAGGGAACACAGCAGCTGTACTCCAAACAAACGAGTGCGAGAGTGCGAGAGCGTGAGTGCATGCGAGTGCGAAACTGCAACGGTCTCAAGCTACTTATTGGAGGAACACTGTCTGAACTTGATCCAATGCTGACGCACGTGGTCTAGCTTTGGTACGAGGCTGTGACGCGCTACATATTGCGGGGGCGTTGTCTGACCTTGACCAACGCTGACTCGCGCTGTCTGGGTTTTATACAGGGCTATGAAGCGCTGCATATTGATGGGGCGTTGTCTGTCTGGTCGGCATCTAGCGGAGCTCAGAGTCTCGGTAGATTTCGGGCATTCAGTGGTTGCTTTCAGGAATCTAACCTTCCTGATAGGTTGGAAAAGTCATCATAAGCAAGGACCATTTGTGGGTTCACTATAAAACTTTCACAATATATTGGTATCACCTGTCTCATTAACTCTGATTAGGACACTGAGATAAAAATCAAGGTCACTCCGGTCTTTTTGGAAGAATCGGTCACGTGGCGTCCCAGTTGGTAGTATCAACATTGTGACTGTCATAGCGCAACTCTCGATTACTTGGTTTTGGGCTTTCTTAACTTTTCACAGCCTCTGTTACGTTGAAGTCTTCCAGTTTGACCAGATGTGTCTTACAAAACTGGGACAAACCTGTCATACAAACGAGTTGCAACAAAACAAAACCCAATATACTCGCCGCCAACCAACAAAAAAGCCATAAGCACAAGTCTCCCAATGCTTTGATCAGTTCCCGACTAAGTGAACAGAAAGTATTTTTTTGTCTCATAGGGGCATAGTAATTTTCACAAGCTTTAGGTAACTCAGTAGCAAAGGCGCGAAATCACTAGTTCGAACCCAACCTCTCGACTGAACCTCTCGAATGCTCCTGCCTAGGCTTGGGCAACCTGACAACATCTTAGCTCCCATGATTCTTCTGGGTGCTATGACAAGGCACAAATGATACCCATAACGATAGTATAACCGATAACACCAGTACAAAATTAGACTTTAAAAGAGGTTAACGCTTTGAATGCTGTTCATACTCCATCACACCGTTCAAATTTGCCTTAATCCATCCAGCTATTCCCGACAATCGAGGACAACTTACCTGCCCACATTTTGGCTCGCATCCAAGCCGAACTTCTGAGTTGGACAGGATTTTTCGTGTAACCAACCACTCGGTAACCGATGCGACATTTTGGGAACCGCTCAGATCATCGGAACCGTCCGGTACACTACCGAGTTCAGTTGGACGCAATTCTTCTACCCCAGACAGTTCCGGTGTCTGGCACCAGGCCTTCTCTCCGACCACTTTTGCGACGGTAGGTTTATTTGACTGTGGAGTTCTACTCTTAGGTTTTGTTTCCTTGAATATAACACAGTAACAATCAGCCACATGTTTTAATGGGTTTGACCGGCTTTCGATCAATTCAAACAATCTATCAACATCTGAACACATTGGACCCTCACATTAAGCTTAGCATGGAGCCAGAGTCCACATCGGGTACACTAGATTTCCTTGACTGCATGACACACAAGAGTGGTGGGAAATTAAAAACCACTGTATACGGGAACTCAACAGATAACGGTGCGGTCTTAAACTCTTCCTCTGCACATTCAAAAGCAGTATATGCTAGCATAGCCTCAGCGATGTTTAGGAGACTGAGAGCACTGTGAACAGAGGAGGCCCATCGAAGAGCAGCACAACTTGAGGTAAAAAACGACTTCAAGATAGCGGATACCCAGTGGGTCTAATTAAGCGGCAACTAAGACGGGTATTGGTGCCAACACCAAGGCACAACAAGGAATGGATCGGAACAGCGGTCATCCCATACAAAACAGGGACATCTGAAGTCAGTAGAAGGGTATCTAATACGGCTAACACTAGAGCAGCTTTCCGGAAGGGGAGAACTACGCTCGATGTTGGTGCATTTGAAGGATCGCCTTCCGGTTGATGGGACTAGGAACTGTGTATACAAAATAAAATGTAACGACTGTACGAAGGTTTATATAGGTCAGACAGCCAGGGAATTGCACACCAGAATCGGTGAGCATAAGCGTTCCATTAACAAACCACCGAGAAACGCAGAGGAATACCAGGCGTTAGTCAAAGATTCAGCAATGGCAGGGCATGCTCTAGACACTGGGCATAGGATAGATTTAGAAAATGTGGACATCCTGAGACGGGGTTTAAGATTCACACCACAGCGACTGGTGGCCGAGGCGGTGGAAATCGCCAAGCATCCCAGTGTGAATAGAATAGAGGGGGTAGAACTTGCAAACGTGTGGAGAGCGGTCTTAGATCAGCCGAGATGACACGAGGCGGTGTGCAGTTATCAGCGAAATCGCCTGGGTCTAAAAGTAAAAAAAATCCAAGTAGCGTTAGATCCAACTAACCACCCCTCCCCCATCTCCAGACCAATTGTCCCAGCACCCTTGGACGGACACAGGTGAACGAAATTTGTTAACCACCCCTAGGTCTCCTACACTGAAGAAGCAAGGACGAAAAAATCCGGGTTCATCATGAAGACGGATCCCCCCTAACCAATTCATCGTAAATCTTAGTCATATTCACTAATCAACAAACAGGAACATCAGACTGAATACCCAGCACTGATCACGTCACTAGTCATAAGGAATCTCACGGATTGGTTCCCTGACTGCCTTAAAACCCAATCAACCTACTTACTTACTCACTTGGCCTGACAAAGCTCTTGTGTCAAAAGCGAAACGTTGTCCAGCAATAAATCCACCGATTGTTTACCAAACCCCTCTGAAACGAATCAATCTAGTTTTTGTTAAATATCCTCTCAGAAATGTTCACACCCGGTCAAATAATTTTTTCTCGAGGAAATGTCGGCTCATCCTCCCGTGGAGAGTAACCGCACTAAAGTAAGCAGAGTGATTTGATAGATGGAAGAATGACCAAAGTCCTTTTTGGTGAAGATCAGTCACGTTAGCCGTGAATAACCGTAAGAGAAACAGCTTTACGATGTATCCTTGAGGTTGTGGCCGAATGGCGAGAAACCGAGCCATACCGGATCCTTCATCGCGTGAACCTAGATGGGTCGTCTATATGAACCCCTGGTACGTAGCTTCAGGCTGTTCTCAACCGGATCACCCATCTGAAGGCTACTTTCTTCAGTTGTTGAATTCACAACATTCTAAACTACTGACTACCACTGCAGACTGTCCAAACATCATAACGATGGCACGCTCCCTTCATTGTTCACCTACAATCCCGTCATGTTCATTCCAGTAATTCTAAGCAAATGGATCGATACCGTGCTCGGAAAAGTCTGGTGTCTTCTTAGATTTCACCTCACTCCCCATCCCCCACCACTTCGCTTGATATGGCATCTCTTAGGACGGAATGGCGTATGTGTTGTACAATTTCTTGGAGTGTGTGTGGCGAGCTTTTAGAAACTTCACTTGAATAGCGTTCTCACCATGGTAACTCTAAAAAAACTTGGATAAGATGTGAGCCTTCATTTCTTGTTATTGTGGACTTTCACTGTTACAAAGGAAGTTTACGCTCCGCAAGAAACAGCGTAACATTATACACTTCGTCCGGATCGTTCACCTCTTGGATCAGATTTTGCAACGGTTCCTCTTTCCACAGTCACATAAAACCTTGGTCCATCTAAACTTGGAACACGGCCAGACATATGAGCCTTTGTACCTTAACAGCCACTCCACACTTCGATGGAACGTTCATGTTGGAGTGCCCGTCACACCGCTGTTTGGCTGCTCGAGGCCAAATGGTTGAGCGTTCAAACTTTCTAGATTTTCTTGAGGTTCACACTACTAATGATTCTCAATAGGGATGAAACAGCTGTACAGTGCTCCTCGACTTTTCGGCACAGACTGACCTCACCGACAGGAGGAAATCTCAGCTGAGAATTACAACGTCTCCCCATACTTCCATGAAGTCAGAGATTTTTCAAGGTCTCATCTGTGATAGGGTAGTCTGTTTGAGTAACCAGAGTAGGTCGAGTAGTGCGAACCCTACAAATCAGAGACGATTAGTGTTTATCCAGGACGCCACAAGTTGTCTTTTGTTTCTGTCTGGTGACCTTACCACTAGAAAGCATGCGAAGAGGTCCTTGTCCGTGGAAATTTTCTGTTAATCCATGGCTTTCAACGTCTTTTTGGCTTCATCAAAAACCGACCCCTTCGTTCTTTTGGGGTTACCTGGTCACATTCAAACAGGTCCCTCGTTCTGAAGACTTGCTTTGGCCCCTAATGCACAATGCCGTTCACTATGTATTCGGTTCTCCATGCCTCTCATTGTTGTATCGTGGGTGGCCGTCTATTGGTTACGCCTGCACTGAGCCTGCGATAGGGAAAAGACAGAGAACTGGGGACACGGCTGTATTGCCAGGACAAAACGTACACAGCGTCTGCGTAACTATATAGGATGACTACTTTGCCAAATATGCTCGTTCACTTGTTCGTTCCGTACAGCCAATGACGGTGTTTCGGTCGTGAACATTCTCAGGCCCACTACGTCGGTCCTGTGTTGCTAAGCCGTTGTTTGGTAGAGCCGCCAACTCACCTACTTTCCGAACGTCTAGTTCTAATGGTGACTTTGGGGATGCGTCATTTTCTGCACATGCGGTTTTCTGTCTGGCTTCATCGATTGGATTGCCCATCACGTAATATGTCAATCAAAGCAGACACGTCACGACGTCAAAAACGCCTTTTCTTCCCACCGTCATCATCAAAGTCCGTAATTTATTGCGTGCAGTTTATACGAAGTGACAGTAGTCTATACAGCATATTGAGCATGAACTCATGGTTCCTCTGATTTGAGAAGTCATACATTCGATGCTCATTAGAATAGAATAGCACAGTACAGTAAAAAAACTGATAATGCACTGGAAAACGACAAACTGTTAAGGGGTGGATCACCAGGCATCGACAAACTTTAAGACTTCATAGTCATACATTACAAGGTTGTTAATCTTGGGGGGAGAAGTTTACTTCTGAAAGTTACTTCAGGAAATTAGTTCACTCTGAAGACAGAAGTGACACTGTGGAAGGTGCTTTTTGGCCTGGTTATGGGTTCAAAGACACGCACACACAATCAGTGCACATGTTTGGTTCTTACGAATTTGCGACACTACATCAACCAAAATGATAGCCCTTTGACGAGAGCCCACTTCCCTGGGGAGTTCGTTAGGGAACGTTCTTTGTCAGCCGCAGTGCGTTTTTCTGAAAAGAAGGGGAAAATTCATGAAAAGAGCTATAATATTCATTCCCATGTGGTTGTCCATCTTCAACCCATCATTACGGTTTCTAATTAGAATACTTCCCGCGCGTTTAAATTCCAGCTGGCCTCCGTGCTCTGTCGACGACGTGACTGTATTGAAATGAACTGGGATACCGATGAAGATGAAGACGACGAGGAGGAAGAGGAAAGTCGGGCTGGAGATATTGTCCGCCCGAACGAAAATCGTGCCAACGCAAATTTTATAAATTCGGATGATCACGCCCGTATGATGACCTCTCCCAGGCCACTGTCTGAAATTTGGAATGGCAAGCAAACCACCCATCTGATGCACAAAAATGATAGTTCAGCGTCACGGATCCAAACGTACATGGCTCCCGTTCCTCCATCCAACGTTTCCCTCCTACAGTCGGTCGTCTCGGAAGTTCCTTCATCAAAGTTGTGGCCACTGCCTCCTGAACCGGTTGTGGAGGAGACTTCTGGAAGTGATACTCTCCGGGACAGGGAGAAAATACATGATCGTAAGAATGTTGTCGGATGTCAGACCGACTTCGCCGACCACCTCCAGTTGTCGTCCGTGGGAGACAAGAGTCTTCCTCAGCCGTCTTACATTCATTCCAAAGTGAGTACGCACTAAAAATGGGCTTGTGCGTTTTCCACGTTTTTTTCGCCGTTACTTCAAGTTTCCCTCGGCTGTATGACTGTTTACTACTAATTATACTGGACCACACAAAAAATTTAACTGTATCTGTTGATGATAATGCTGGATATTTTCTTGGATTGAAGTACCTGCCGCACAACCGAATACCTGTTTTCTAATCACCTCGTTACCAATACGCTGACGCCATCCAAAATCAGTCACGCTTCTGAGGCATCGGTGGTCGAAAACCTGAAGACGCCTCACATCATCTACCCGAAGAGGCCATGTCTCGCACCCATACAATAACACAGCCCTTACTGTAGCCTGGTACACACGACCCTTAAGATCCAGTGAGATGCCATTTTGACGCCACAAGTGGCGCAAATTAGCAGACGTGATTCGAGCCTTTGAGATTCTTGCACTGACTTCATCAGATACACTTCCGTCAGAGCTGTAAAGTCTTCCACAAGCTCCAGTGGTTCTCCTTGAATTGTAAGGGATATGTTCTCACATGGCACATTCTGAAGCATGACTTTGCACTTTGAGGGTGCAAGGCGCATGCCAAAGGATGGTATGATGGTGGTCAGTTTATTCAACAGGGCTTGTGCTTCGCTATGGTCTTCAAAGATGAGGGCGATGTCATCTGAGTACTCCAGATCAATAAGGCTCTCACCAGCCGCAGTGTTTAAACGTTCTAATGAATTTCGTCCCCTAGGGTATTCAAGATGGGTTCACTGGTGTGGCAAAACGTGCTTGTCAAAAACAGTTCAAAGATAACACCGGAGTAAATCTGGGTTGATGTCGTGGGAAATTTTTATCACCAACCAAAAGTCCCTTGTAAGAATCTCGTTTTCTTGAGATGGAATTACATTTGAAAACAGCTGCGTACCTGGAGAGTGCGTTCTTCTTGAGAACTGGGTTTTGAGATCAAAGACCCGGGTCATCGCACGTTACTTGCATACATTCAAACAAATGATATTAGTTCTGGAGTAGCAAACGGGTCGCACTTAATAAATCCTTGTTTTGCGACAGAATAATCCTAGCACTCCGGAAAAAGGTTTTTTTTCCAGGCATGAAAAGTTTTTCCTGATGAAGACAATTCTGGTAAATTGTTTTGGGCAGAATGGACTCCGAGTCAACCGCGATTTTTCGCAACTGAGTTTCTTATAACCAATGATAGAAGTACACCCTCCAGTGTGTTCGTTTACTGGCGCAATGGTAATGACTACAAGCCGTTAGACACGAAAGTATACATGCCATCTGCACAGAGCTTTTGAAAATGAAAACTTTCAAGCGTCCTCTCGAAAGATGCTGAACGTTATGTGGATATCAATAACTGCAAAGCGGTTCAATAATTTCCGTACTAACCTTCAACTTTCACCAGATACGGGGATGAAACTTCTACACTTGACTAGACACTACTCGCGAGGTTCATCGGTAGTATATTCCCCTAAAATAGTATAACCCCATCACATCAGTAGGCTTGTTACATGGGACAAAGCCTAGTGTTAATGGTCATATCATAATTATTGATGTATATACAAGAGAATGTCCATGACTTGTTGGAACGTACTGCGTCCTGCTTAAACACAGGTCCAAATTAGGCGCTTCTGTTTATCCTGTCCCACAGGGTCAGAATGAGATTAGTTCAGGTTGTGAGAACGCAGATTCTATACCGTTTGGTCGGCCGATACATTCAGGAGCACTGGATAAGTTGGGATTAGTACACCCGTCTACTCATCTCTCTGTATGGTTTTTTTCTCAGTATTTAGTTCAACCAGTTCCTTTCCCCATTCATTGGACTTTGAGGCTGGACCACTCCCCAACTGAATCGATGGTGTAAAAGCTATTTTTTGCTGAGGAATGCTGTCAAATTTACTTCTGGCTGCTGTAGTCTCAACACAAGGCCAGACGCCTATCAAGATAAACAGATTACAAATTTGCTTGTCAGCGCGTCGTTCTATTCCCGCAATCATTGCAGCAAGAATTGTATCACAATAACTCCCCTGTCTTACCGCAAAAATATCCCACTTTTGAACACCAAATTTTGTATCTTAAGAGCGGCATCTTTTGGCAACCTTTTGCAATTCTGACTGCCTAACAGGGCTCCTTTAAAGTAACGCTCTACAGAACCGCAAAGATACTTTGCCAACAAACCAGCAAACAGAACCAACAGAATTGTTTAGTTGATAACACTGTTTGACTTTCTCACCGTTCTGTCTGTTTCCTATAGGCAACGGGATCACTGGTTGTCCAGTCAATCACATCAACCACTGTGACGACGTCCCTTCCGTGTTGGAACGCACCAGCTGCGGGAGACAGACAGTTGGATTTCGAGATACCATCTTTAGGTAAGTTATATCAGTAATACACTATTCATGAACATACCTACCCGGATTAATCAGTACTTGTTAATATTCCGTGATGGCAAAGAGTATGGTCTAAGGGTATACTGAAAACCTCGGACCACACACGCATATTTGGAATTTTCCACCGTTTCGAACAGAACATCCAACATTTATTTTATCCGAAGTCTGGTTCTCCCAAAACTGCCACAAACATACTTTGAAATTGTATTAACGGTATTTTCCTCAGCTTAGTTCTCGGTCTGAGCCTCCCAAGCTAGCGTTCACGTCAAAACAACCACCAAAGGTGCACAAGGTCCATTAATGCCCAAAAGGAAGTCAGGAACAGTCGTACAGCGCTTCGTATATATATAGCGTAAGCGGTTATAACTCTCTGGAAGTTCTGACGCGTTCTGGATGCGCCATTGGCAACCGGCATTTGGTCAATACTGGGTCACGATTGGCTGTTGGGTCCAGATTTCTGACCAATGAGATCTCGTCTTGATGCCGGACCGACAAGCGTCCCGAATTTTTGGCCAATCTTGTGCGGGTCGGGCTTACCGGCCGTAGCAGCGCCTAAAGACGTGCGGCAAAGCGGGATCCGTGTGGAATTCTGCCTAACAGAAATACACGTGAGCTGAGATTCCACGGAGTGTTTTCATAGAAAAAATAATGTGGAAAAATATGTCCCAGATACGGTTTTGTCCTATCACAAAAGCTGGTGTTAAACAGCTGCCGCTGAACATGGGCTATTTTTGTAGAAAAACAACGCTCATTCCGAGGTGAAACTAAATTGTCAAACTTACTGAGAAATTTAGGAGTGGGTGGGTGGAAATACAATGGCAACAGATCCAAGATGACCGACAACCGCCGCGGAAACAGGCTTGCAGCCAGAGTATTTTTCCGTCCAAATCACCTCCCGAGGAAACGACTTCCACTGGAAATAAGTTTCGGCTCCACAAATTGCCGATTTGGTCTCCGAGAAGGAACACCACAAGACTCCAAACTTTTGCCACTGATCTAGAATACTGTCGGATGTCGTAGTTGATGTTACGCACCAATGATGTGACATCAGACGGCATTTGATATCCTGACCTGGGAGAGTGTTCGCCAGGACATGTTTAATAGCCCGAGATCCGGCCAGATTCATTACATCGTGTTGCTATACAGTACTGGTTACTTGGAAGTTCCGAGCCAAACTCGGCTGAGACGTTTTTAAACAAAGTGAGCGCTATGTGATGCATAAAACAGAAAGTTTAAAGTCAAAACACAGGGTTATGGTTACTTCTTCCATGACAAATCAGTAAATTTCATTTACCTCAAAATGTTTCGATAAGCAAAATCAAGAGATCCGGCTCGATTCAGTTGGTCCTCCTGTTAAACGAAATTCGTGTGCAGTGGAAATTATTTGTCAGAATCCATTCAATTTGGGTTTAAGTAGAACATAAGTTTGACGAAAACTCGGGGATTGCACCTGTTTGATGAGCCTCAAGGAAGACGAAACCGGTCATGGGATGTCGAGGGTTTTCGTCAAACTAATGAGTAGTGTGCTCCATCCAGATAAGAAACAACTCAATCATCACCCATGGGTTTAACTGTGCAGTTCGTTCTCTTCTAAAATCATAAAATGTGTTCCCGCGAAAATGCATGAAATGTTACGCAAAACGTCATAAGGAGCATCGAATTCAATGAGTTTTTTCAAATGCCTAATAGCCGCTATGCTTTTTGCACTTCGTGTGTGGGTGGAAAACCCTAATCTCGCGCGAGTGTCAGGACAGAACGTACTTTTGGCTTTTCATAAGGGAAACTACTCACAAGGTTGATGAAAACTCTTCAACAGCCCAAGACCGGTCTCACCCTTCTTGGGGCTCATCAGGTAGGGGCAGTCCCCAATTTTCCGTCAACCTTATGTTCTACTCGAACCCAAATCGGAATGTTTTTGAGAACTACACTCATTTGCAGCTTAATTTCGTTTTCACGAGGGTCTCAACTGAATCTCTCGTTTATGATATTCTACAACTGAATGCACTGCACAGGCCGCCTCATGATTCAGTTGGCATGATATTCGAGATATCGCGGTATATTTTCATAAACCAAATAGATTTGCAAGTGAGTGTATTTCTCGAAAACAGTCCAATTTGGGTCCAAGCAGATCATAAGGTTGACGGAAACTCGGGGACTGCGCCTACNGGAAGTCAGATGAATCTCTCGTTTGTGATGTTTGTAATGCACTACTCATAAGGTTGCCCAAAATCCTTCGACAGCCCACGACCGGTTTTCTTTATGGAAATATACTGTGATATTTCGAACATCGTGCCAACTGAATCATGAGGCGGCCTGTGTGCAGCACATTCAGTTGTAGAATATCATAATCATAAACGGGGATTCAGCTGAGTGAAAACCAAATTGACTCGCAAATAAATGTATTTCTCGAATACTTTGGGCTTTTTTAGTAAGTGAACATGCATGTTCCGCTATCACACGCTGGCCTCCACAGCTTAGAAACTTTAACACGTTTTGGCGAAGTTTTGAAAGGGTTCTAGACACTTGCAAAAACTGGCCGAATGAATCATATTCAGTGAACTTTAAGTCAACGATTATTCTTTATCTCTTATTTGGACAACACTACATACCTACGGGGTTCCAAACCCCATCTTCGTGTTGCACTAATCTCTACCACATTCCTTTCCTACCCATTATGGTGGTGACCTTCTACTTCAAAGACACACCGACGATTTTGTACTTTGATCTTTGGGTTTTGGAATCTCCAATTTTCTTCTCTGTTGCTAATATCTAACAGCGTCCAATTTATGGTGGCATGATTAATGATGGTCAGTGCAAACAGAGCGCCGCACGACCGATAAGAGATGAACTTTGTTTGTCTTTGAACGCCAATCAATGTCCTTGATGCCTTTGTGTGTAAAAAGCGGTTGCGGCTGCCGGTGATCAAACACCTGGGGTAGCGTACTGACCACCTTGAGGCCACCTTGACTCATGGTGAACTCAAGATAGTCAGAGTACTGCTCACTGGTCTCAAACTGTTAGTGTGTCGTTCATGTTGGCGATATTTTCATCCCCAGATAACCTGTCAGACACCCGAAAGACACGCGTACAACCAGATTGACCATCAAGGAACCGGAGAACAACAGTGTAGGATGATAAACAATAATCATATGACAACTACGGTAGCTGATAAACATTTTCGTGATGTCAGTTCAACACTAGGAATACGCATAATCACCTATAGCTTTGAATAAATTGAAAAAAGACGCCATGGTTTCAAAAGTTACAATTTTGGGGTTTTGCGGGATAGGTATTTTGTTCATAGTCACACCACTCTCGTCTGAACGGTCGTCCTCCTGTCCTGGCGTAATTATTCCCGTGAGTCCACACCAATGGGAAGCACTGGACTAGAGTTTCGCTCTTATTAGAGCTCATCCGCAGTGCATATCCAATGACCGTGCCGGAATTTGAACCCCTGGTTTCAAAAGTCCCAATAAAAATCCACGGGAATGTGTATTTTTTGGAAGCGTGCATAAAACGCCGGATACGGTTCTCATTCACCAGTCGTCTGTGTACTCAGTACATAGCAGAAACTCCATGCTTCCTCTTGGGAGGGAGCCCCGCATAGTCCATTGCTGGGAACAGGAAAGTAGTGTTCTTTCGATAGACCAGTGTGTGCAGTGAAAATATACTGCACCCGCTCTGTCTACAAATTGTTTTTTGCAGTAGGAAGGGATACTCATGTTATAATTTCCCGAAGAGCTATTGAGTGAACACCGGAATGACGGATCCGTCAGTGAGTGTTGACGAAAACCCGCATCTTTTCCTTTTTTTGCCTACGCAAGATAAACAAATCTTGCCGCCTAGAGGTAATACACTACTCACAAGGTTGCTGAAGATTCTTTGAAACCTCATGACTAGTTTCAATCTTTTTGGGGTTGGCTTATCTTTTCCTTTGCCTACGCAAGATAAACAAATCTTGCCGCCTAGAGGTAATACACTACTCACAAGGTTGCTGAAGATTCTTTGAAACCTACCTCGACTTTTGACGTTCAGCTTCGGACGGTTTACTGACTAATGTGATCGATTTGGTTTCCCCCGGTTCATACGTTTGAACCAGCCATCGGTAAGTGGGCCATGTTCTTCGACACTGGGAATATACTACAACAAATAAACATAGGGGATTCCACTCGACTTCCGACGGCTTACCTTCACGTCACGAACGCAGAAGCAAAGGCCACGAACCGCTTTATTCGTGAAATCTAATCATTCGAAGCTGACCAATACCTCGGACAAAGAAGTCTGCGTTATTGATTCAGCGACACGTTTTTCCGAAATAATGGTATTTTCCACACACACACACCCACACCCA